AAGGTTGATGGAAAACAGGATAGTGAACATTGCACCTTTGTTCTCTTGTGGCAAGATGTTTGGGGACAAGCCTGTGTCAGGACAAGACTACCACCTACCTGAGATCCTACAGGGATGCATACAAGCCTTCACAACCCCCTAACCAATATAATGCATCTACGACAAATGAAACTATACGAGCTCGGACGTCACCTCGGTTATCAAGGTCCGCGCTGTCTGCCTTCACCCGGGGGCGGGAGTGACAAGTCAGCTACTGGGACCCACACTACAGGGGCCACGAGCAACACACAGACACTACAGACCCCCCAACCTACAGACACACTTTCATTGAATATACTCCAACTGAACATCTCATCTATACAGAACAAGAAAATGGAGCTTGCAAAGACACCATCAGACTTAAGAATTCATGTAGCCCTGCTATAGGAAACCCAACTACCCAAGCGGATAGAGCTCCATTTGACAGGCTACACAATGTACCACTGCAAGTGCACCAAATGTCAAGGTATCGCAACCCTCATTCGGAATGACATCACCGCTGAGGTTTCTCACCCAGAAACCGATGACGAAACTGACATGCAGGAAATGAATGTGCAGCAGTCGGATGGAACAACCTACATCTTCTACAATGTATACTGCCCACCGAGATCTACTCTCCAGCTCAACTTCCCGAATGCAGACCATAAACATACCATTCTTGAGGGAGATTTCAATGGACACTCTCCACTGTGGGGTTACAGTGATACAGACTCGACAGGAACAGTTCTAGAAGAACTACTGAGAGCAAGCAACCTCATTTCATTTCAGAATGACAAGACACCTCCCACCCTACTTCATAGAGCCAGCGGAACTCTCAGCAGACCAGACTTGACCTTGGTCTCCGCTGACCTTCACCTGTACTTCTCCATGACTGTCCTAGATGACATAGGAAGTGACCACCGCCCAATCCTACTGCAAATATCCAGCAACAGGAAACGAGATTCGACCAACCCCATAAGACGCAGTTGGAACTACAAGAAAGCAAATTGGGAGCTCTACCAACAGAAATCCAAAAGTAGACTCCTGGATGTATGCACGACCAACCCAATTGATGAGTGCTACAAGGACATCACCCCAGCACTAAAGACATCTGCTAAGGAAGCGATTCCAAGAGGGAACCCTTAGAAGTTTCGCCCTTATTGGGACAAAGAATTTGAACAACTGACCAAGGCCAGAAAGAAAGCCAGACGGCGTGCTGAGAAGAACTCAACAGCCAAAAACAGAAAGCACTACAACTACCTGACTGCCAAGGTAAAGCTGAAGACCAAAAGTGCGAAAAGACAAACATGGAGAGAACACTGTGGAGGACTAGACCTGCGTAAGGACGGGAGGAAAGCCTGGAACCTGCTTACCAATCTCTCAGGTACAAAAAGAAGGAAAAACCCCGCCCCAATGAAACAACTGAGAAAGGAGAAACGTACAAAGCTGAGGTTATGAATAAATACTTTGCTAGCATCAACAAGAAAGGAAACCAGAACAAAATGAGCCACGCAATAAAGCAGCTAATCAAAAGGGTAGAACAGACCCCCAAGGCAAACCTGGAGGTGTTTGAGAAGGAGTTTACTCTGACGGAATTGAAGGCAGCCCTCAAAAAGTGTAAAAAGAGAAAGGCCCCGGGACCAGACCATGTCACCAATGAGATGATCCTCAACCTGACAGACTCTTCCCTCTCCATACTCCTGGGCTTCTACAATAGGACCTGGAATGAGGGACAGCTCCCAACAGAATGGAAGAAAGCAAACATCACACCGGTATTAAAGAAGGACAAACCAGCAATCAGCACATCTCAGGCAGGATTCAGAAAAGGCAAAAGAACTATGGACCACCTCATCAGATTTGCCCAGAAGACCAGCGATGCCTTTCAAGATAAAGACAATGTTGTGGCCGTCTTCATCGACCTGAGGCAGGCGTATGACCGTGTGTGGAAACAGGGACTGTTCTACAAAATGCAAAAAGCTTGGGATAGCAGGAAGGATGTACAGCTGGATCAAGAACTTTCTGTCTTGCAGAACTACCCAGACGTCATGTGACAGCAAGATTTCTTCACAGAGGACACTTGAGGAAGGCCTCCCACAGAGGTCAGCACTCAGCTGTACCCTCTTCCTGTTGTTCATGAACGACGTACCAAATGTCATCTCCTGCCAGAAAGCACTCTACGCTGACGACTTACTCATATGGAGCAAAGGAAGTGACATAAGAGCACTGAACCAATCCATCAACGCAGACCTGACTACTATCTCGTCCTACTGCCAGCTATCGAAGATGGAGATCAACACAGACAAGACTGTTTTTTGGACTCTTCAGCCTCAAAAACAAAGTTACAGCAAGTCAGGTAAACCTTAAGATCAATGGAACCACCATCAGACATGAGGACTATCCCAAGTACCTTGGTGTACAACTGGAAAGAAAGCTGTATTTCAAAGAGCACTTAGGCGAGCTGACCAAGAAAGCCACCTCCAGACTAAACCTCCTGAAACACCTTTCATCACTCAACTGGGGAGCTGACAAAGCAACCCTCCGACAACTTTATATAGGGTATGTCAGATCTGTGATTGACTACTCCCTACCACTACAATCCATAGCCAGCCAAAGCTCCCTGGCACAGCTTGACAGAGTACAGAACCAAGCACTCAGATTTGTTTCTGGCGCGATGAAGACCACGCCTACAAGCGCCTGTGAAATCCACACCAACATAGAACCACTAGACCCCAGAAGACAGAGTACTACACTCGAAACCTATTAAAGATTTGTGCGGTTAGAAGACATGAACGAAAACAGGAAAATGGCTGATGAGTGAACACGCACCCTGAAGACCTCCTTTATGCGAGAAGCAACAAAACTACTCGAGGAGTTTGACCCACCCAAGAACAGAGAACCAATCACCAACATCCGCAGCGAACCTCCATATTGGCAGACACCAGAAATCACAATAAGGACGAGACTTCTAGATCCTTCTTGTGACAAGACCACACCAGAAGAAATACTCAGAACTAGCGCCCTGGAGACAGTGGACTCGTATGCTGAAACTCCAATCCATGCATACACAGATGGGTCAGCAACAAACGCTACACAAAATGCTGGATATGGATCTACCATCAAATATCGAAACAACCTTGGAGAGAAGATGCAGACCCAACTATTTGGCCCATGTGGAACATACAGCTCTAACTATGACGCAGAGAGAATCGCCATAGTAAAGACCTTGGATAAGATCGCCCAAGACTTTTTTGAAGGCGCAATAACACCAAGGGATGTTATTGTCTTCTCTGACTCAATGTCAGTACTCCAAGCCGTCGAAGGAGGAGGAGACTACAGAGGTGACGGGAACATCCTCAGCCTTGTAAAGCAGATGGGCACTTCCTATGGCTTCCGGGTCACACTGCAGTGGGTGCCTGGCCATTCTGGAGTACCAGGGAATGAGACTGCGACCATCTATCGAAGACTGGAGCGAGCCTGCCCCAGACAGACACAACCGCCTCTTTACAGGCCTGCAGAGGGATCATGCAAGCCAAAAGCAGAGACGAGTGGCTAACAGATGGGCCAACGCAGAAACAGAAGATCTCTCTTCGGGTACATGGACAAACCCAACCCCAAAGACCCTTCAAATCTTTTATGTAGAGCCGATCAGACATTGATCTTCAGAGCCCGCACAGGACATTTACAGACCAACAAGCACATAAACAGAATCAACCCCACGTAGGAACCCCATTGCAGACACTGTGACTACCACGAGGAGACCGTTGAACAGCTTCTCCTTCACTGTCCAAACCTGGCAGTTCTTCGACGCAAGCTCCTACACACACTTACAGACTTACAAAGCCTGCTCTACTCTGGCGTTGACCAGATGACAAGGACATGTGGTTACTTGAGGGAGGCATTGCGCTGCCAAGAGCGAAATGCTCGCAGCTAAAGGGATTTGAAAACAACAACAACATATATATGTATATATATATATATATATATATATATATATATATATATATATATATATACAGAGAGAGAGAGAGAGAGAGAGAGGGGGGGGAGAAGGGAAAAGAGAAGAAGAAAGACAGAGAGACAGAGAGAGAGAGAGAGAGAGAGAGAGGGGGGAAGAGACAGACAGACACACACACACAGACAGACACACAGACACGTAGACAGACACACAGACACACAGGCACACAAACAGACAGACAGACAGACAGACAGACTGACTGACTGACTGACTGACTGACTGACTGACTGACTAACAATAATGCGTGTGTGCTGCAAAGTGTGTATTTTAGACTGTGAATATTGAGATGATTTAGCTTGACAAAAGTAACAAGAAATGGCTTCATAAGGGACAAGTAGTTGCTGGGCAAAGATTAGACATACCCACTGGCTTACGACCGTAGGGATTGTTGTTTGTTTGTTTGTTTGTTTTTTCTTGAACAAAACGACAACACATGTCGATATATTGACATCTTTACACGTTATGAAGTGATGTCTATTATTATCTTTCTTACGATAGATGCATTGGAAAATGTATTCCTTTTTTGTGACGTCTTTAGCTGCACCCCTCAATGGATTTTATCTCGTTTTCTTTTTTCTAATCAGAAAGTTCAACAGTCCAAAAAGCTAACATTAGCGAGTATGAGAACAAATGCGCAAACAACACGCTCATTCTCTGCGAGCAAACTGATAGCAACAGTTTAACTGTGAGTGCTTTGAAGGTGAGCAGCAACGAAAGCTGTCCTGCGAACAGCACTCGGCAAGAGCTCAATGACAACAGCTCCCAATCCGTTTGCTGTGCTACTCCTACACTGGAGTCATCAGGTGAGTGCCTTGAGTCCTTTCATTTCCTCTCACTAGAGAGTTATATGTTCGGATAAAACATTCAGTTGTTCGTCCTCTTTGAGATACATAATGCAATCTTGGTAAAATTACATCTTTTTGTGGTATTCGGAATCTAGCAAAAGAAAGAGTCACCCACAAATCATTTGCCCGATTTTGATACGCTGGATTCAAATTTGATATAATTTGTATACTAATTCGGTGACTATGTTAAGTATTGATCTTCCAAAGAAGCGAATCCATGGAAGATCAATACTCGACAGAGCCACCGTATTAGTAGAAAAAATCATCTTCCATGTAACAGAGAAATGCTGAAATCCTTAAGACCAGAACTCCCCCCAAACACCAACATCAGGAACACCAACATCAAGACTTCCCTCATAAAGGAGACAGTGAAAAAGGAAGGTGACCCAGTAGAACTGAAGACCACAGCTCTAAAAAAACAACAAACAATTGACTTCAAGGGAACTGTTAGTGCAGGTTTTGGAGTAAGAATAGAACATCCAGACAAGACATGGGAAGAACTATTTGAGGCCTATTGTACTTCCTGTACAAATTACGAGGCGGCTGAGGCCATTGCCACTGAAGCAGCAATCCTTCACTTGACCAACATTTTCATTATAAACCCAGACAAAATCAAAGATACTGTAATCTTCACTGACGGAAAATCAGTACTCCAAGCTTTGGAAAACTTGAATTTTGAAAGCACAGCTTGCCTCTCTGTGGCTCAAACAATTAACACCCTCATGCAGACCTATGCCGTCAACCTGGCTTTACAGTGGATACCTGGCCACAGCAACATCCCAGGAAACGACAGAGCAGACATCTTTGCCTAGAAGGGAGCATCCCAAACACAACCTCAAACTCCAGTATCACAACAGACAGTCAAGAACATCATCAAATGCAATACCAGGGAACAGTGGCTGAATGGATGGGCATTGGGAAAAAATGGAAGAGCTGTATTTGCACACATGACTGCTCCCAACTCAAAAGACGCATTAAATTCTCACAGTAGAGGAGAACAAGTCAATATCTTTCGCCTGTGAACACAAACACATCACACTGAATTCCTACCTAAAAAGGACCCGCAAGGATACCCTACCTGACTGCCAGTTGTGTGACTGCCGGGATGAAACAGTATCACACCATCTCTTTACCAGCCCTGCACTTAGCGACCTGCGTAACATATACCTGCCTGCCTCCCCAGATATCGGAAATATTTTATAATGCGACAAAACACAGCTGATAAAACCCTGTAAATTCTTTTCCATATCGACAGGCGAAGGGCTAGAACCCAGATGGCTGCTGGATTAGAAAAGTAAATGTAGAGTAAGTATATTATTTTTATAAACAAAAGCTTTTATAGTTGGCTGGTCTCATAGCAGCGATATTCTTTTTAATGTTCGCCTTTGTAGCTTACAAATTAAGATCGTCTTAATATCTGTGTTTTCAGGCTTGTGTCACATACTATACTCAATATTTGCCCCGCAGTCTTTTCAGTCTCAGGGTGACGCTGGCAGCATTTTAAATTTAAAAAACCAAACATTCTAAATAGCAAATTTTTTATTCTGCGGTAGGTATAATTGTAGACCATTATACCTAACACAGAATAAAAAAATAGTGATCGCATACTGCAGAAAGTGGATAAAAATTAATAAATGAGATATTTTCTCATTTATTTTTGCAAGTATTCATAATATGAGTTCGGAATTTGTTTTTATTTATAGTTCAGTAACACTGTTTCCAATAAGAAATGTGGTGCATCGTGACGAAATCAAGCGCTAATCAAAACAATGAAATCAAAGAAAACCGCATTTTTCTGGCCAGTGGGCTTTTTTTTTCTTTCTCTTTTCGGCTTAGCCCCTTTACCTCCAATTAAAAACACATTTCTGTGGGGATTGTAGTAAAAAATATTCATCAAAGGCACACAGAATGTCCATTTTAAGTTATCAAGAACACTCAAGCTGTGGAAGTCATTACACTTTGGCAGCCATTTTCTCGCTAATTTTACATCTGGCATAAGGTGACACCTACCCCCTTCAACAGCAAATATTATCTTGACCTCTGTTCTAGATAGACGAATGTTATTTTTCATAAAAAGCAAGACAAATAAACAAACTTCAAGATAATATCTATAGCTCCATATGCCCAAAAATTAACGAGCGCCTGATTCCACCGCATCGTGACACAAATAGTCTTTCGTAAATTTTGCGCATATTGGGGGACCGCTTCTTGCAAGTGGGGTTGTCTCTCTTCGGCTCATCGTCTCACTCTGATTATCCTGTCAAACAAGTCAGCATTTGCCCCTGTATCTGAGTGGCTGATTTATACCAAACTTTTCAATACACAGACACAGTCCACAGTAAGGTGCTTTTAACTTTTCACCTGGAAAAATGTCATAAACGTCAGAAGCTGAATATTTTAAAGTAGAAAATCAGTTCACTAATCTATTGCTATCTTGATAGGCAACTCCGAAAAATGTTACGATTTTAATTGAGCATATAAATTCCCTTAGTTTCAGACCTCATGATTTTAGTTACTCAAAACGACCAAAAATGCCACATAGGACTTTGTAAATCTAAGCTCGCAGTATAAAAAAACACGGTAAAGGGATTTGGGGGAGGGGGGGGGGCATTCTACGAGTGCATATTTTTGCACAAAATGTCAGCGGCGTCTTGCAGGGTGGGGCCTGCAACTTAAGTCTCACCTGGTTTTCTGCACCAAAAAGTTACTTCTCAGACTAAAATTCGAATAAAACATTTCACAATACATAATAATGTATTCCGACAAAGAGTGAAACTTAACGAGCATCCAAAAGAAACTCATGAAGCACAATAAGTCAAAAAACGATTTGAATGGTCGGTGTGTCTATGACTATTTACTTTGATTGTAGCTCTGTCCAATCAAGCAATCAGGAAGAATTAAATTCAATTCGTTTGTCCCTTATGCCAAGGTGCTTCAGATACATAAGTTCCCACAGACTGAATAAGCTTATAACTGGTTACTGGCCTTGCACAGCTTAAGACAGAGACAAAGAAACTGATGGTTCTATTAGGTTCTGGGGCTGAGCAGCACTGTGGGACGCGCCTTGACATAGCTTGACTTATTCTAGTTTGCACATCGTGGCTCCAGAGCAAAGCGTAGACTTAGCACGTCCTCCTCCCCCTCCTCTTTTTTCCCCTCGGCTCTGTGTTTCCTTAAGTTAAGTGATGCTGTCAGGGAGCTTAGATTGAATGAGGTTTTGAGTGCGTTCACTGTGTGCCGTGTACTCTTGTGTTCTGTGAGTGGAGATCAGATAAACAATGAAACAAGCACCTTTATTGTATAATATCAGTTCGTTAAGGTAGTTTTTAAATTTGAATCTAAAGTGTGTTCTTCAATGCAGCAATGTATCGTGAAGTATACTTATTGAAAGTTTGGTTTAGTTCTTTATTACGTGAAATTAAGCTCAGTGTCAAGATACTGGGATCACACATAGATGTATGAGATCACATCAAACAGAATTTTCACTCCCTGTTGGGGATAGACAGCAACAGAGATATTTTATCAGTGAATGGTTTATCATGAAGGATGCACCGTTCAACCAAAAGTCACCGGCACATGTGCTAACATAAAAAGCGAAGGTCACAAATCATGTACATGTATAAAGGCGCATAGATAAGTCCATTGTCCTGGTCTCAAACGGGGTGTTGCCACTAACAAATCTATACCTTATAATTTACCGTTGCCTTTTTTTGTAAGTGTTTTACGGCGCTTGCAACTGGATAAGGTCATATGTGCGCGCGGGACACACCAAACATTTACAGTTCGTAGGACATTTTGAATTTTGCCCGGGTAGCGGCAGAAGTCTACTCTTATCGATTATAGATCTCCGGGGGATTTTAACGAGCACCTCCTCGATTTTTTTACCTTGTCTGAGGAGGCTATGTGTAGAACTTTCCTGTGAGAAGATTAGGGTTGTGTCTGAAAGACAGCAGTAAGAAAGAGCCAGTAGGAAAGCTGCAGAAAGAGTCAAGAGCCCAGTGGAAGGGGCAAAGCAGGTGAAAGGGTGGGGTCAGAAATTGAAGACAAAAGCAGACGACAGAACATTGTTAGAGAGCAGGAACGGAGGTGGAAGGAAACAATTTTAGAGAAGAGAATTTTTCGGCCGCTACCCGGATTCGAACCCGGGACCTTTGAGTGAGAGGCAAACATCTTAACCTCCAGGTCAGGAGAACCTACACAGTTGCCTTTGTATATAAGCCTGTTAGACTGTCTTTTCGGTCTTTGTGCATCCTTTACAATCCGATTGACCTCAATGGTTGGTCAGCGTGAGCAACACCCCCTTTACAACCCTTTCGACGTCACTAAAAAATGTTTTGTTTTCCCCACTAAATAAAGCCTCCTCAACTTTAGCGTGATTTGAAAGAGCTCTAGTTACTGAAAATCGGGACGAAATATAGCATATTATTATCTTGTCTAGCTGTGTTCGAATGCTGTAAATGATTACAAAAAGTTAAACTGTCAGCAAAGAAATAATGTAGCAAACTATTAGTTTCTAGTTGCTGTTCCCCAAGTAACGTTGACGTCAAAGGTGGCTCTCATCCTTCTCAGCCTCTGATTTTTTTTGTCCGGACGCACTGCAACACCTGAGGCCCACCACCAATGGAAAATTCGTTTATTGAAACTTGCGTCCTGAGGTAAAAATATCTTACTGGAAATCAGCGTATCAAAATTAACAACAAATGCCTTGATGAATTTTATTTATCACAAAAAGCAGTTTTATCAAGATTGCATGATGTTATATTTTCTTATTTCAAACAGGACAGGACAACCGTCATTTTTAACTGAACGTATGATACTCCCTTTAGTCGAACGATCTTTATGTGGGCAATTTGTAGCATTTAAACAATTTTGTGAATTTGAAAATGGGGGTGGGGGCGCTCAATTTGTGATGGATGTTTTTGAACAAAAATGAACACATCGAGGAAACTTTTTTAAAGACATGATTTCTTCCTTGGTGTGTATATCGTCTAGAAAAAAAATGGATCGTCTAAGGAAAATAAGTTTGCGAGTACAAATGTTATTTCTATCCACACTTTTAGTGTGAGATATATGTATATGGTATCTTACTTTACTTAGGTTTATTCTTCCTCTTGTACCCCTAGGGCATCGAGGGGAGAAAGAGTTTTCGGTCTCTAGAAAGGTGGATGGACAAGCTGGGTGGGATGTTATATATTTTCAGGGTATCCTTCACAACCTCGATCCAGGTTTTCTTTTGTCTTCTTCTTGTCTTGTAAACTGATATTCGGTTGTAGTACGCTTTATATTATTCTCATATTTATTTAACTTCAGATACAGGAACGCCTTCTCGCAGGAAGAGATCACCGAGACACAGGGGAAAGAAAATCAGACGAAAAGATAAGGATGATGGTGGTGATGATGGTAAGTGTTCTCCTTTGTTTGTCTCGTAATATGATTTATTGCTGTCGGCTTGCTTGGACAGTCACGGTTTCACCAGAGCCCCTTCAGCCAGCAAAGTTTCGGATGGTAAGTGCAGCGTAATAATACCTTTTGTACGTTGCAGAAAGTTTCCTTAAATGGTTTGTTGCATTTGGGCAATATGCTTCCGTTCTTACGCTGTAGGTAGAAAACTTTTTCTTCAGCGTACTCTTGTTACCCTTCTTGATGAAACTGGTATCCATATTACACTGCAGCGCAAGCCCTTTATATGCCATACTTCAATTTCAGAACGGCCAAGGGAAAAGCATCAGAGCGGCGCACTTTCACAATTCGTCCTTGTCCCAGACGATTAGGTGCTCGTTCCTACCTACTCTGGGATAAGGGGGTGTAGAAAACAAGAGAAAAAACACGACGCTATCTTGGAGGAATACCTGACTTCCGGTGGACAGGCATACGCTATTTTTGTTGAGCTGCTAGAAATAAGACCTTTATTAACTACATTGCACAAGTATAAAGTGTGGCGCTCTGTTTGCGCGCATTAAGTGTTTGCCGTGTAGTAGGCTAAATTGATGTGACACATATTAAACATGCTCCATTGTATTGAGAGTATTGCAGCTCTCAATAATACTCTTGTGATAAAAATGGTTCCACTCTTTGAGTATGTTAAAAATAAAAACAAGTCTTTCCGGTCTTCACGATAGTCCTTTTACTTGAGTAATGCTAAGTACTCTAAAAAGGAAGTCATGATATCAAAAACAATATTTTGGTGTTTCAATTAGTATTCACAGCACCCACGTTAAAAAGGTGGGTTTTTTTCTTTTTTTTCTTTCTTTTTTTTAGATAAAGTGTCAGCCTCATAAACATCAAAAGCGGCAACAACATAATTCTTTCATTTTCACTCTAAAAAGATCGGACATTTAACTCAACATTGGAGAAACCAAGCCATCGGCATGCACTGACTTTTTCTAATGTTGCCTGGGCATTCAACATCAACAGAAAAACGTGTTTTTTTCATGATATTATTATGACTTTCTTTTAAAGTCAAAGTGAAAGGGAAAGCGTAAAGACTCAAAAGACTAGATGTTACATACAGACCATCCAAATGTGTTATTTTCTAGCGTTAGTATAACCAACGTGTGTTGTGTTGCTGTTAGGCGCATTGTTGAAGACACGAGTCAGATTTCTACATGAGTAAATTTGAATCGAGTTCCTCTGCCTGTCTTCTGGGACGTTGTAAGCCCGGGTTGGCCCTGAAAGGCAGGGTCGAAAGCAGCTCGCCTTCTCAATGATCTAAATTGCGTTGATGTGTGTGTAAAATATCTACAGAAAAAACTAAGTAGAGTATTTCTCAAGCTCACTCCATTAGTTAATCTGGTGTAAAGCCGAGTAAGATTCTAATATCAATATGTTTAGAGCTGGTGTTGTCTGTGAAGTTGTCATTGTTGCTTATTCCGTTTCGCTTGTTCTTTCTCAGATGGGCGTCAAGTTACTCGCTCATGTTACCTTGTCGTGCTGAAAGAAGCACACAAAAATGCGCACAGTGCAATACAGGAAACCCTGAATTAACTACAAACCGAAATGCCGAAACGTTGACATTTTGTTGTTTGTTCAATAACCACTCTGTTAGAGGTGGTCAGCACGTCCACAAGGCGCCACTGAAACTTAACAAATTTTTTAAAAGTCATAATGTTGTGATATGCATAATACGATAGATAATATGGATGGGTTTTTAAAAATAGATTTTTGTATCTAACTTTAATACACACCTTAGCAACCACACGTCCAACATTTGGGCTTTGTTTGTAATATTATGTAATTCTTCGATTGTTTCAACCAAACTCCAACAGGACAACCCTATGCTCAATACAATTTACTAATTGTTGGTGGTGCTTCATGAGCACCGGCATTCAACAATGGTTTGCTAATGGCTTTGCGCCGTTTACTTAGAGTTGCGTATTTTGGTCATTCTTTTCACCCCTGTTTTTTTTAAATAGAAAAATCAAGTCCAAACGTGACGCTTGAGTGTGACGGAAACATCATTTAATCCCCAACGATTGTTTTCTCAGAACGGAGTTTATTCTTTGTCTGCTTTATTATGCTTTCGTTTCTTTTTCCTATCAAACTGCACTATATATTTTAGCAACATGTTCTTATTTTAAAGCACACAGTTTTTAAAAAAGGTACATTGCCATGCCCCCCCCCCCCAATGACGTCACAACACTACCTGCGGAACGTTTGATCCTTAACTCGCCAACCCTTTTGTAATCGAATAATTAAAAAATGGCAGAAGTCTGGCATCGAAACTGGTAAATGATCATTCACACCTCTGAGCATTGCGTGCATGTGTGTTCTTTTGAAGAACATTGCCGTAGTTAGCTCTGCTCACCATGGGGAGTTAGGAATAAGACTTCAAACAGGGTAAATCTATAACTATCATATTTTTAATGTTTGATATCATTTATTAAAATGGGTTAAGAATCAGTGAGGGCTGAGATAAAATATTTTAATGCAACAATTATTTAAGCTCCTAAAAGCAACTTGAGTCTTTGAAATCTCTGTTAGAGATCTCATGTCATTTGATATCGCAACGATGGTTATAGTGTCGTAGTTAGTCTAGAACGTTGTCAATGGTCGATATCATATTCATTACAAAATTACCAAACAAATTCAAGTAATGACATTGTGTCATGAGAGTAAATGTCTTTGTCCAAATTAACAAGTGAACGTATTGTGGCGACACACAGTTCATGATCAGCTTCCCCGACTGGTGACCTAGGCAATTTTTGACCTGGCGGGGTGGAGGTGAATTCAAGAACCCCTTTTTAAAAATGTTTAACTCATTTGGATCTAATGGATTAACAGTAAGACCAGTTTTATCAACTGGGATGATGTCCGCTCCCATCAAATGAAATTTGAAATTGGCAGCATTTTTATGATAATTCTGGAAATTTTACCGTTACTATCTTTATTCCAAAGGCCAAAATCAACCCACCTCATCAAACAAGATTAAAAGAAAAGAAAACCCATGCACACTTCCAGAATAGTTTCCCCAAATCTTCTAAAATAACAGGGTATTTATTATACATTCGCAGATGACACAGCGGCTGCAACAACAGTGGCCCCAGGTATGTATCTATATTGTAGTTCTTTTTGTAGTTGTTGTTATTGTTGTTGTAGCATTTGTTGTTATTATTGTTGTTGTGGTTGTTGTTGTTGTTGTTGTTGTTTATTGTTGTTGTTGTTGTTGGTGGTGGTGGTGGTGGTGGTGTTGCTGTCGATAATGATGTTGTTCATGTTGTTCCTGTTGTTGTTCATGTTGTCCTTGTCCTTGTTATTGTTGTTATAGCTATTGCTGTTGTTCTTGTTGTTTTTGTTGTTGCTGTTGTTGTTGTTACTGTTGGTTTTGTTCGTTTTGTAACCCTTGGCACTGATACATTCGAGTTGCTGTTGACAATTTTAAAAAATCATTTTCTCCTAACCCGATTGCTTACAACATCATCAAGATCAAGTGCCTGATCTGCGACCGACTTCGTTCCATCATGGTTCTCAATTCATTTTTCTTTGCTCGACGTTCTAATAAAAGCTACATCATCCTGATCATCCCCCACCATCCATCTGTTTACGCTGTTTATATGTCACACACACACACACACATACACACACACACACACACACACACACACACACACACACACACACACACACACACACACACACACACACACACTCTTAGGATTCTTTCATTTCACGCAATTTTGCCAAACATGATTTTTAAAGGTTATTTTTGAGTGACCATATCTCGGACAATGGAAAATCAATGTGTAAAATGACGCAGAATTGTTTTAGCTTTAAATTGATGCGCTGCCTGGGTTGGTACTGTAAGGCTAGGTGAACATATTTTCAAGATTATTTTGGACGCCACTGTAATAATTATATTATTTTTGTTTGATTGTTCGTTTTGGTAAGTATTTTACGATGCTCGCAACTGCATTAGCGCGCTGAACACATTAAGCATTTTCAGTTTGTTAGCAATTGATTTTGAATTTTGCTCGTGTGGTGGCCGAAGCCTACTCTTATCGATTTTGGACCACCCACGGATCTTTAATGGGCGCAACTTGCTAAGGGGCGTCCGAGATTTTTTCGCCCTTAACTGAGAGGGCTAAGTTTTAGATTTTTATCTACCATAAGATCATAGGTGTGGCTGAAACACAGCAGTAAGAAGGAGTCAAGGAGTAGCAGTAGAAAGACTGCAGAAAGAATCAGCAGCCCAGAGGAGGGGGCAAAGGGGGTTGGGGGGAGGGTGGGCAGAAAATGGAGACGAAAGCAGACGACAGAACACGATTAAAGAGCAGGAAAGGAGGAGAATGGGTGAAATGTGAGAGAAGACAATATTTCTGTGGCTGTCAGGTTTCAAACTCGGGATCTATAGAATGAGAGGCAAACAATGTAACCTATATTATATACAGTCGTGGCAAAAAGTTTAAGACTACCTGATATTTTTTTAATAAACATTTTAAGAAATAAAATGAACATATAGATTTAGATATAGTTTAAATTTATGAAAAAACTTGCTTTAAAGCTTCAAATATGTTTATGGTATGCTGTTGTGAAATAGTTTTGATCGAAATCAGTACTTTGTGTGTCCACCCTTAGTATGGATGACCATTTGAATAGGACACGGTGTGCTAGCATGCTTGACATGAGCGTTTGGAAATATTATTCTGGTGGAAGTTCACTCGTCCACGCTTCATTGACTGCACCCCTTACGGCTTTTCGCTGGATGGCAGTTTGTTTGGGATCATGTTTTTCAGGAATTCTTAGAGATTTTCAGCAAGGTTGACGTCACGGCTATTATCTGAGGTCGTGACCTTGACCGTTTAAAGGTATTCTTGCATGGAGCGCCATGTTACATGGACGTTTTACGCCTGTAAATGTGCATGTGTTTCCAATATGTTCTGCAATAATTCCAATGCCTTGGGACAGAGTCGTTCCTGGCTCCAAACAATAAAAGCCTGCAGGTCCAGACTTTGCAATTGAGCACCAGATCATCGGACATTGTCTGAATGGTATACTATTCGCTGTATCCTTTCCTTAGTGACGTACTGACATGGCAGAGCAGAACTACAAACTGCTGCAAAGTTAAATAATTTTCGAAAAACGTCACTTTTTCCCAATGCTTGGCACTCAAGTGCTCATGGTTACAAACTCCGGAAACGTCTCGGAGTCTTACACGCGCACAAACGC